TGCGGGCAGTAGGCAGGGGACACCCTGAACCGGTTGCCAGCCAATCGCAGGGCACACAGAGACGAACAACCATCCACACACACAATCACACCTAGGGACAATTTGGAGTGTTCAATCAGCCTGCCATGCATGTTTTTGGAATGTGGGAGGAAATTGGAGCACCCAGAGAAAACCCACGCAGCCCCGTGGAGAACATGCAAATTCCGCACACGGTGGCCGGAGCTGGGATTGAACTGTGACCTCTGCACTGTGAGGTCGACGCCCTAACCACCGGACCACCTGGCCACTCTTCTAGACATGTACACCAAATTTCAGGTTCACCGTGTGCCTGTGTGGGTTTTCTCCGGGTACTCCGGTTTATTCCCACATTCCAAAAACATGCATGGCAGGTTAATGGAACACTCTAAATTGTCCCTGCGTGTGAGTGTGAGCGCAGAAGGTTGTTCGTCTCTGTGTGCCCTGCAAACTGGTTCAGGGTGTCCCCCGCCTACAGCCCGAAGACAGCTGGGATAGGCTCCAGCACGCCCCGTGACCCTTGTGAGGATAAAGCGGTTCAGAAAATAGATGGATGAATGGATGGACGGAAAAACTGGTGTCAGAGGCTTATTTTTCCTCAAAATGTGACTTTCTCTGGAATTTGTTCAAAACAGCTGCTCCAAACCAAAATGGATGATTTTCTGTCCTCGGGAGTTTTTCCTGTGCCCTGGTACGATAGAAAGACAGGTCTCCCCAATTTTATGCTGATCTATGCAACTGGTGTCAGGGGCTGAACTTTCCAGTTGCATTTGTGCAACCTTCTTCATGACGAATCCAGAAAATGGTCATCCGAACCTTTGGCGCCACACTCGGGCCGCCTCGGCAACAAAAGTAAGTTTGCAATGTGTCTTGAGGCTCATTTGGACGAATTCCCAAGTCGGAGTCGGTTAAAGTATCCGTGCTGGAAGCAACTGTGTTGCAGAAGGAACTACAGAGTGCACATAAATAATTTGGTCCTCTCTGGGGAAGGACAGGATGAAGACGCAGAAAAACGAGGAGGAAAATATCTCTGGCAACAGTTGGAACCAGATATGACAGCAAAAACTCATCCAACAAGGCTTTTGAATTATTAGTCACAGTTGAGACACAAATAAAACATGGGCTCCGATTCAAATAGAAATATACAGTCTAGAGGAGTGAGCCGCAGAATTGGACAATGACATAAAAAAAAAAGGTGCGTGTGTGTGTGTGTGTGTGTGTGTGTGTGTGTGAGGTGTGGGGGGAGGGAGGTCGGTGGGGTAAGATCAAGGATTGGGTAACGCTGCAAAAATGGTTGCGGGGGTCCGCAGTCAGACGGAGCAGCTGCTGGGATATTTGAGCGCATTCCGGATCCCTGACACAAATTGAATTAATGGGCTGAGAGGGAGCCCGGGCCCAAGAGTCCCTTCCGCCTCACCTCAAGCCCCCCCCCATGCGCCCCCCTGCCCGTCTTTATAATCCCTACAACGACTCTCTCAATCACCCCGACGCCCCT